TTCCCTGGCTGCCCCTTCTCCCTCCTTACTGTTAGACCCTGCTCTCCCTGAGCAAATGGAAGTGAGGAGCAAATTTGAAAGCAGTAACTTTCAAATTAAACATGGCTCTGGCAATTTACACGTAGTACTCATACACTTAATTTATCCAGAACTGATGCATGTTCCTTTTTTTTTTTAAACTGCTGCAAGTTTTAGTACATGTACTCCATAAATGTGCTGTTGAGCAGCAATTTGGCAGCTACTTACATGTAGTACAAGCTACTAGGCATATGTGAAACAGGCCATATTCGATTGGGATTTGACCTGAATCCAGGACAGTGATTAGATTTGTTGATTCGGATCACTGTCCCCAATTCGGATTTGGCTGAATCGAAGATTCGATGTAGGTTTGGAGAATCAGCAATTTGGTCATAGACACAGCTTTTAAATGGTTTTTTCTACATACTTCGAGGTACCAGGTGCGGCTTGTAAATGCTGTGATGCTGGGGTGGATGGAGCATCTCACAGAAGCACGGGCGGGGGCACCCTGTGTGCTCGGCGATGGACCTGGAAATGGATTGGAAGTACTTTGCTCCCCTGCCCCCCGCCCCCTGATGCAGGAGGTACCAGTTGCACTTCTGGTCCACTTCCAACTCTGCTGCAGAGTGCTCTGGGGATGCTCCCCACGCTCCTGTGGGATGCTCCATCTTCCCTACCATCTCAGCATTCACAAGCTGCCTGGTACCCTGAGGTATGTAGCAAAAACAAAGTGTGTCTGTGTCCGAATCATCAAATCTCTCCAGATTGATTCGGAGAGATTAAAGGGTCTCCTGATTCGATTCGGATTTGGAGATTCGGCCACCGTATTGGGCCGAATCTCTGCCAGATCTAATTGGCGACCGAAGCTTTGCACAACCGTACAAGCTATGCATGATATTAGTCCAAAGCCAAAAGACTTGTGATTTACCATAGCTCATTGAGCTGGGTCCCTCCAGAATCAACAGCATTACAGGCCATAATGACCCCACAACTCAGCATAGCTCTGTGTGTGCGTGTATTCCAGATACCCACTTTGTCTGTCATCCCCTCCGCCC